TTATATTTTAATTATATTTTAATTATATTCTTATTATATAGTAAATATATTTAGCAAAATCAAAGGTTTCTGCAAAGCAATAAACTCAACTACGACTACATATCAAATAGCAAGTTCTGTAATAGAAATTTTTACTTCGAAATATGGTAAAAATTGACAAGCTTAACTTTAACCACATTAATAAATAATTACATATCACGCATATTGCAATAAATAATAAATTCTGTAAAGAATCTTTAACAGTAATTTTTAGGTTTTATATATTCCGGTTGGTGTGAAGATATATCTAATCCGATAACCTCAACATTTGGATATCTAAGAAATATTTTTTGCGATATATAAATTAAGAACTAGAAATGGAAGTATATATACTACAAAAGAACATACTTACGTGGTCGCAATATCAAATGACCACGACCCTGGGCCACATCTAAAATGAGATAAATGTTTATTAGTGGTCAATATTTTAACAAAATATGTAACAAACAATTGCTTTTTACTGAATTAAATATAATGAATGGAAATTGGGTATTGAATTTTTCGGCATTTTTTTTGATATAATTGAATAGATTATTATGTAGAGATATTTGAGTCACTTATTTAGATTTAGAAGAATCGTAATTCAAAAGAAAGCTAATGCAAATTAGTAAATTAATAGAGTTTTCTAATTAAGGAATGAAAATAAAAAATTTCTTTGAATTAATACACGTCATTCTGGTTATTATATCATATCAATGATGTTGTTATATCCAGATGTCGGTATAACCAGAGCGACGTGTAATAAATACGTGGTATCCATTTCTGCGTATTTTTATTATTATATAGTATAGATTTAAGTAAAATTTTTTATTATACGAATCACAATGAATAAGATAAAGATTTCTCATTTGCAATAATTACTTCATTATCGATTGTAACAATTACATACCCAATATCGAGGATTTTGGTTCCTGGTTTATCTAAAAGATGGTTGATAGGGGCGGAAAAATTGCTTTGAAAGATATATCTTATTAAAAAATGTTGTAAGTGTAATCTATCTTGCTCATCTTCATCATTTGGTAGATAATAAATAGCATCATCTACACTATGAAATCTTCTACCATCATCAAATCGAAAGTCAATCTTTTTGTTTTGACAATCAGTAGATTTGACTTTTTCGCGTAAATTTTTAGAATAAAAACATCCCATACTAATTATTATTTTAGATGTTTTTGTTCATAGTTATCATTAAGGAATGTAAGAAAATTGAAATTTGATATAATTTTTTGACAATAGTAAACCGAACGTAAAATGTTTAATAATTGTTTATTTAAATAAAAAAAAACGGTCTCATTCACAAGAATTTTTAGCATGTTCGTGTACGTACATACGTAAGTTCGTAAATACATTGTTTATATTATTCCAAATGTTAACTGGTTATTGTTACTGGTTATTGTTTTCCCATTACGCGCAAAGTACAGTACGCACGTAGTACATAAAATAGCATGCATGAGCATAATATTTTACACAAATTATTTAAAATAGGAGAATAAGAGCTTGAATAAATTAAAAGTGCAGTAATTACCAACTTGCCCAGATCAATGTTGATATTAAGTATCACGTTTGGTACTTACGTACGTACGTTCATACGTGCGTACGTACAAGATAGGTATAAAGGCTAATTCTTATAACGATAAACTTGGCATATAACTGACCAACAGAATATTGATATATAATTAGGTACACAGCTGCGCAGAAAATTAATACTTTTAAAAATATTACAATCGCTTTGTTATTCCTAATAACGATAATAGATAAAAAAAAAAATATCAGGAAAAACTAACCTTATCATATTCGGTCCTCCTATAAAATTGATGCAATAATTACATGTGATCAAATACAGTATGTATACAGATGATCGTTTTGATGGCACGAATACACGTATTGCTTGCTTGTCTGTCAAATATGTACACGTACGTATACAGCTGATCATTCTAGTTGCTTGGTATCAAGTGGACTTCCCCAAATTGGAATCATCCCAATCTACGTACGTCCGTAGAATCGGGTGAATTTGGTAATTTTGATAATTATAATTGAAATTAAATTTTTTTTTATTTTAAAACCTAATTCTGGGTTAACACTGAATAATTTACAAATTCACATTCGGGGAAGCCCGATTCTGAGTCGGGACGATCCCAATCTGAGGTACGACGGATTTATTAAAAGAGAAATGACGTTAAGAGATAATCAATTTGATTAGATTCTTCAGAGGTCGAGTCTGACAGGTGAATGGTGGCAGTAAATAATTTACAAGTTTTTTCTATCCGTAACTAATATTATGAATTGATTGAATAGTATGAATTGTTTAAATGCTGCTGTGGTATATGCTACGTATGACGGGTGAAAAATGGATCGTTTAAAATCCTCAATGTAACACAATTGAATAATAATAGATGACTACTAATGCATCTAAAATGATTCCTTATGGTTGTATTGATAATTTTAGGCAGAAAACTTTAAACGGTAGAATCATGACTAGTTAGGAAGTAGTTCTAGCAATAACTTTAGATAGTAAAATTGAATATTATGACATCTCTTTAAGACATAATACAACCAGTAGCAAATACGTATTTAAATTCTAACAACATATGTACAGTCTTCTAAAATCTACTTCATGGATCGCTTTAGCGTTTGGTTTTACTGAAATGGAATAATTTTAGATCAATTAAAAGTAAATTAGTATTAAAATGTATGAATATGTAGCTGGAAGAATTTGATAATAGTTATACGGTTTAAATCATTTGTTGTTGGCCCTTAGAATCAATTGGCAGAATCTATTTTTGCAAAAAGGTGAGACCTTGCAGAATCTATTTTTGCATAAAGGCGAGACCTTTGCGGACCATGTTATATTAAGTCACGAAAAAATTAGCAAATTCTAGAACTATCCAAAATTCATTAAGATTTTCGTATGATTGGCCGATCATTTCTAAATTCAAAAAGCAATATCGATATTACTTATGTTAAAAACTGATGATTTTATTTTGAAGACAAAGACTACATTTTTTTTACAATATTCGACAAGTTTATATAATTGGCTTAAAGCGAATCAAACTCTACTAAAGTTTATACCAAAATTTATGCTAAAATGTAATTGTATAACAATTTCTTTTCAAACTATCAAGCTTAACTATTATACAGTATCAATTCAAAGTAAATAAATGACTCTTTTATGCTTGTTTATACTGACGATATTATAAAATAAGAATAATAGTATTGTTGCATATTTAATTAATTTTTATATTATTCACGCTAAAAAGCCGATAATGTTGTGTAACATATGTAATGTAGAAAAGTTATTTTAACTGCATACAATAACGATGTATGCGATTTTTTTTATTTACTAAAGTTACAATTTTGTAAAATAGCATTTAAATTTACATCGCTAGCTTATACTTATATATAATTGAGGATAAAGCGCCTATTGTTTTTTTTTTATATATATTTGTGTAAGTCTCTTGTGTTTCTTATTAGTTTATAGCTTGCAAATTAAAAATATTACAAAATACGATTATTCTATTTAAGACTTTTCATCTATGCACTTTAACCAGTTTCTCTAATTTAGTATTATATATCCATATATAACTTATGGTAAAGCTGGATTCGTTATTCATTTGTACATGTACTATGATAGATGGGAATGTGGTTTACAATACAGATTATGACAATGACTTTAGATCGGGCAACTAAAAAATGGCTTTATTTAAAAAATAGCGAGCTGTTAGCCGAATCGAGTCAGTCGTTTGCATATCTATTCATAGGAAATGAACATGTGTAACATACATCAGATTCTCTTAACTATATAACAAAAGTGCCTTATTTATATTTTAATAAGTTTTCCTTGTTTATGCTTATATTTCTCTTACATATTCATGCTCTATTGATTTTTTGAATATACTTTATTTGCGTGACCAGATTTCTATAAATTTTTTAGTTTTACTCATAACAAATATATTATCTTTACGGTCACATGATAAACTTACAATAATTCCGGGTACTTGTACGTACGATGCAGGAAATTTAAAAACCTCAATATTTCTATGTAGAAATGATGCATTAACAAGTAGCACATCGAAAATAAATTTCCTAAGTTATCGATCTCAATAAGCGAAGGGTTTAGAACTCTCAGTATCTTTGCATAAAACAATAAGCAAAGAACAATATGTACATAATAGCATGTTATTGAGAATGACAATTTAGTTTATCTCCAATGAGTTAACTAACCTTAATGCTATATAAAGTCATTAAAGTCCAGCACCGTACGTATTATTTCAGACATGTACTTTTTTTATTCGATTGTCCTCCCCTTGATAAATTCTCTTATATTATCTTTTTTTATTTTTATTATTACAGTATTATTTACCCTGAATACTCTGTAGTATAACCCTGTAGTATTGTAAATAATCCCTGCATATAGTTAAAACATCCTTGTCTTTATTTATTTGTATTTTATCGTACTACCATCGGGAAAAATCTTTATATATATTATGATTGACTTACGTAAGTCAATCTGTTATGATTAACAGATCTACATTAGTCGCATTTAGTAACTGATAGGATGTGATGGATATACAGTTACTAGTTCGATGGGTGGCGCTTCGCGCCACCCATCTTATTTGTTTAATCAAATTACTGTTAAAGATTCTTTACAGAATTTATTATTTTTGCAATATGCGCGATATGTAATTAAGTTTCATCGAAATTATTTATTAATGTGGTTACAGTTGAGTTTGTATTAGATTGTCAATTTTTATCATAATTCGAAGTAAAAATTTCTATTATAGAACTTGCTATTCAGTGATCACAGTATGTGGTCGCAGTTGAGTTTATTACATTAGAATTATCATTACGGTTAATCACACGATCTCTTGAAACATAATCGTTAAGTTGAATAGAATTAAACTTCATACAATTTATTGAACGATTGAATGATTACGGTTAATCGAATTGAATTTAACTTAACACTCACCCTAGTAATTTATTTGAACGTTTAAATGATTACGGTTTATCACATGTTCTCTTGAAGCACAATTGTTAAAGCGAATCGAATTTAACTTTGTACTCACCCTGGTAATTTATTGAACAATTGAATTATTATGATTAATCAATGTCTTGAAATACAATCGTTAAAGCGAATTGAATTAAAGTTCATACTCGCTCTGGTAATTTATTTGAATGATTAAATGATTATGGTTAATCATACGTTCTCTTGAAATACAATCGTTAAAGCGAATCGAATTTAACTTCATGCCCACCCTGGTAATTTAATTGAATGATTAAATTAAACTTCATACTCACTCTGGTAATTTATTGAATGATTGAAATGATTATGGTTAATCACATGTTCTCTTGAAACACAGTCGTTAAGGCAAATTGAATTAAATTTCGTACTCACCTTGGTAATTTATTGAGCGATTGAATGATTATGGTTAATCAATGTCTTGAAACACAATCGTTAAAGAGAATCGAATTAAACTTCGTACTCACCCTGGTAATTTATTGGATGATTGAAATGATTATGGTTAATCCATGTTCTCTTGAAACACAGCCGTTAAGGCGAATCGAATTAAACCTCATACTCACCTTGGTAATTTATGGCTAATCAATGTCTTGAAACACAATCATTAAAGTGAATCGAATTAAACTTCGGTCGCTCTCAAGCGTCAATCTCAATGTGATTAGCAAGTGATCGTAATAGTGCTCAAGCATAATTATATTTACAAAA